TCAAGAATAATATTGTTCAATTAATGATTTATAATCCCACAAAGAAATTAGTAACACTTCCCAGACGTATGTTTTTGGGAACAATTGATCATTTCGCTCTACTCTCATTTTGAAGAAGACACCTTGGACTATCAGACCATGGAGGAAAATCAATACAATCCTATTAAAAAGTTTTTACACGCGACCTGGTTTTTCAAAGATCTCCCAGAAAAGCTGTTTTAGAAAACACTTCTGAAAAGTTTCGGCTTATGAAAACATGCCCCCAAGTCTCCGCTTTCTTATGGCGAAAGCCAGAGCTCTCTAGCTGGCTTCTATCAAAAGTTATTAAAAAAGCAACGGAGTCCATTCTATTTTGGTACAGACAGTAGTTTCAAACGCTGTATAATTTTTATAAATATTATATTCTATTTTGCTAAATATTATTTTTCGATCTTTATCGCTCTGTTTTTGGACAAAAATTTCGTTCTCGATTTTCGCACTAACTATGACACTTCGAACAAAACTTCCTGTGCCAATTAAATAGAGTATAAGTTGGAGTATATGGCCTGCTATTCGAATGTTGAAAAAGTTCACTTTCGTTTTTCCATCTAATGTCCACGTGGTTGTCCACTGTGTACAAAGTGCTCAGATCTTTTGAAAAAGCATGCCAAGATATTCTCTATTATGGATAACCTATTGCTCAATGATTTTGAACATTACTTAGTGTTAAACCAGACTGCCAACCTGCATACAGAAAAAGAAATTTAATTTTTGTTCTTTTTTTCTGTCTATTTTTTATTCTTCTTTGATCTGTGTGTTGACTGTCGTTGCTTGAGTAAACACTTAAATTATGTGGTTGTCAAGACGGATTATACAACAAACATTCTTTCTTTCATTGTTGAATGTAAAATGCATGGATATACAAAAATGTTTTCTCTTTTTTACTGTTGCATAACAAACGCCTTCATATTGTGACTTATCCACAACCCGATTCGTTTTACATCATAATCCATTGTGGTTAGAATTGATAATATCTCGTCTGTTGGGCGCAGATGTCGAACCGAGAAGAATTGGTGTTAACAATCTACACAGAAAGTAATTATAATGAGTTTGACCGTTAATAATTTGTTTTAATGTGCCGCCAATCACATACTCCGATGCATCAGTAGCCAGAATAAACGGTGCAGTTGGATGGGGATACTTCAATACTAGTGGCTCTTCTGTTAATACTTGTTTTAACTTATTTGCTGCTTGAATCTTATCTGTCTCTTGTTGAACATTTTTACGTTGATCAATGGTCTTAAAGTATGGCTTTGCATTTACCGGAGAATGATCACCTGTGTCGATTACATGCTGTATCTTGGTCTTGATCGTTCTTGGTTGAGAGGTATCAAACAGTACACGATGTTCTTGTAGAAAATTTAGTAAGTGTTGATATTGTTGTTCATTGATTTTGAGATGCTGGCTTAATGAGTCAGTAATAGTATTTAATGGTACAGTTTGTGCTTCTTTTTCTTGGTTGACATCACATTCCTGCGTTATTCCATTTGAAAATAATGTTGAACAATATGTATCTGAAGCCAAATGATCAATTGTTCCCAAAAACATACGTCTGGGAAGTGTTACTAATTTCTTTGTGGGATTATAAATCATTAATTGAACAATATTATTCTTGACATCCACAATTCCATCACCAAGGGGAATTCGTTTACATTCTTGAGTCGTCTCATCAATTGCCTTGAATAACAGATTATTCGCACTTGCTATACCAGACGTGGTAGCGTCAACGACACATTTACACCTAGGAACTATTATGCAATGTTGGGTCAATCTTACAGCTTTTGGCTTTTCAAACTTGACGTATATTTTTCGTTGTTGATGATGCATAATAAGACATTGCGATCTGGTTTTGATCTCTACCTTGAACTTTCGTATAAAATTCATACCTAAAATGAAGTCAGTTGTCAGATCATCATCTATCATTGCTCTTATTCCATTCTTAAATTTAAAAAGATCCATCCATATTTAGTCATTTTCGTTTTTGAATCACCCAGTACTATGGCACCCGATTGCTTGTAAATTTGATTTTGACAATTTAAGTTGATAACCGCAGACATTGTAATCAATGAACATGTTGCTCCCGTATCCACCACAGCCGAAATTTTCTTGTTATTGATCCCATGTTGGAATAAAAATTAATGATGGTAAATCTTTATTAACGAGAGCAGTACCATCATGAGCTCCCATTAGTAGTTTTTTGAGAAACAATCGCGAGCAAAATGACCTACTCTATTACATCGATAGCGTCTAGCTTTTGGTAATGATTGCGAAGGTTGTTGTAGTTGTTAAGGGTAAGATCTGATAGGGGATTTAATTGTGGATACAGAACTAGTATGTGATGTTTGGACATTGTCTATTTGCATAGTTAATGACGAGTCCAATTTTTCTTCCACTTGTGCCACTTCCAGGAATTGTGCTGGGGTTTTTGGGTCCTGTCGCATCACATCTTTTTTTAAAGAAACTTTGAGATCTGCTTTCAGATATGCAACTTTTAACTGATCAGTCATATCCGTATCCATCATGTCAAACAATTCCATCATATCATTATAATAATGCAAAATAGTTTCATCAAGCCCTTGTTGACGCGCACCAACTTTTTTTATAGCTAGCTCTTGGTGCATTGTTGATGAAAATGTTTTTTGTATTTGAATCGTAAATATAGACCACTCTGCTATCAAAGACATATTGTTGATGAACCAGCGACGAGCGTCATCCTAGAGAAATGCTTGAATGACAGAAAGTTTTTGATGGTCATTAAGGTTAACCAGATTCAATTCATTTGTAATATCAAGCAACCATTTTTTCACATTTTCATTACGTTTACCACCGAATTTTGGTAATTTTTCCAAATTATTCGATAATATACTGTTAACTAGTTTTTCCGTCATCATAAATGAAATAGGACGATATACAATATGTTGTTGTTCCGTTGGATTATTTATTTAGTCAACTTCAATAACACTCAATCGTTTCAATTCTTCCCTAACCTGCAATTGGTCGAATTCCTCTTGTTTGCGCAACTGTTGTCTTGTTTGTACCATATACACAATCAACACCGGCTAGTGCACCACTTGTTAGGTCCGGTATACGTTGTTGTGTATGAGTAGTTTGTTAAGTTACTGAAGATGATCTCTTTTGCACAAAAATAGCGTATATTTATATTTAAGTTTACGCGAAAAGTGGAATATTCTACAGTTGATAAAATACACTGGGGAACTGGAGATACATGTAAGAGATCACAGAAACTAAAGAAACCAAGAACTAACACTGGGCAAAATCCTGATAGAAAGAAAGAGAACGAAAAAGATACATATAGTAGACAATAAGAAATAACACTGGGGAAGTTCCTGACAGCAAGAAAGAGAACGAATATATATATATGTATGATACCTATCATACAATTCTCTCTTATGGCGCGTCTTTAATATGAGCCATAACATATCTCGCTCGCATAAGATGATGATCTAATAAATCAACGCTTCTAGTGAGAACAAGCGGCATAACATCTTCTGCTACACGTCCATTCTAGAAACTTCACTAAAATGTCTTAACAACGCATAGAACTAAATGGATCAATCAAGAAAGTGTCCATCCATATGATCAATTCTTTTAAATGCGTGATTTTAGAAAATGTTCAAGACTGCTTCTACAGTATCACCAGACTGATGATCAATGATGAAGAGCCTGCCGAGTTCATGACAGGTGAATAAGGTCACCGTCTCCAACCATGTCGATAAAAACGTGTGCCCCGACGAAGCACTCCATTGCTATGAACCATTTCAACACAATAGAAATCTCGACGCTATCTATCACCATATTAACCATGTGAAAGACATTGTGATCACAATTTTGGTTCGCACCGAGGCTATTCTCCGTCTTACATACGAATTGGCTGAGTTTACCGTTCCTCGATTGTTCGTCATCGTACCCGATATCAAATTTCTTTTTGATCCAAGAAATTTATAACGTACAAGTTATATTTCCTTTGAGCGAGAAAGATGAAATCCAAGTGGCTCTGCATGATAGTTATGAGAAGCATTCTTCATCAAATATGGTCCCTACATAAAAAATATGATTATTGTATTATAGGACGTACGGTGACATATATTTCGCATGTACTCCACGTAAGCGATTAGAAAAACAGATTTTTGCCTTTGCCCAGGCACATTCAGAAAAGTGTGCTTTCAGCAAAAATACCACAGGATTTTCGTCTGTTTCAAAAGGGCTTGGGCAAAGGCAAAAATCTGTTTTTCTAATCGCTCACGTGGAGTACATGTGAAATATATGTCACCGTACGTCCTGTAATCCTGTGGAATGGCGGAGCACGCAGTCAGACTTTGAAAAACGAGGAAAATCGCCTTTAAAAGTTGTTTTCTTCTATCATTAGATGTTTTTTTAATCTCAATGAGAATCCCTTTATCAGATAGAGCTTGGAAAGATGGGTCGACTACGTATCTTGTTGTCGTGTGTAGACACGATCTTTTGGGGAAAATATGTTTTACAAAAAAGGCCTACGGAAAATAACGTTTTTTTACAAAATTCTTCTGAGAACGTGCTTAACATTTTAGAACTTTTTGTTCGTTAGGAATTTTGCGGCACTGCACATATAAATTCTAATCTGACGGTACCAACTCTTGAAAGTGTTTTGCTAAAACCCAGAAAACGTCTGTTCTGCTGTGAAATGGGATCTCCACAGGTCCGGAACGCGAGGTCATTCATGTAAGTAGTGTTTTATTGTTGACAATAACTGTATGACTAGTCAAAATATCCAAATAGAAATAAAATGATTAAGTTTCGATTAGCTGCAAAACTTATAATTTATATGAAGGACACACATGTCAATACGTTTGTTTTATTCGACTACTGGAAGTTTCTCACTTTTAGCTATTTACCATAGATAGGAAACGGTGAATCAATAATTATGTATACCCAAGGAAATAAAAAATATCGAGTATTGGGCAATCCTACTTAGGTAACCCAAATTAATACCCGATATACCCAGATGCAAGTGAAAAGACAGTATTGAGTATTGGACAATCCAAGCTAGTTAACTCAATAAAGTAGTCGATAAATCTAAATAAGCCAATATCTTCCCCGAATCTGGGTATTAGGTTTACCATATGTCCAAGTAAGAAATCTTAAGTATCTAGATATTTTGTTGTGGTATAGGGCAATCCTACCACGAAATATCTACGCACAGCTGTCACTTTTATTGGGTTATCTAGATATATCGGGCATGGTATTGTCCAATACCACAAGTCACCAGATTTTCGTCGTAAAAAAAGATAAGCTACCAACTAACAAAACAAGGTAAAAAAACGATAAATGACATCTGTCGTTCTGAATCATTAATCTTTTCTCAGAAAATATCGCGCACTCACGAGGCAACCTTTCGAGGTGATTAAACACTTTTTGCTCGGCATCTGGTGGGTTACAGACTATCGACCATGCTGATTACGAATTTAACCATGGAGGTTGCCCTTAGCCCTCCGAAGACCTGATTTTCTAGAAAATCAGTTTTTCAGAAACTCTAAAATATAGCCCGAACCTTTCTTAATGAGACCTTTCTTAGCCGGGTGGCTAGCATAAAACAACTCCAATTTAGAGTTCTGTCGCGAGATCACAAATGTGTGATGGTTGCACCGCGATTATATATCGCCCAGTGGCCCTTACAAAAAATCTTTTTTGAAAATAAGATTTGATCAAGATCACGTCACGAGTTTAGGAATGTAACGGAGTATTCATTTGATTTCATGAACAAAACTAAAATTTCTCGACAGTCTATACACCGCCGCAAAAGCGACCAGTTTTCTAATGAAACTCACAATGGTCTGAAAGGTAGAATAATTTCTTTTTTCACATATTTTATTTTATTATTTCTCGAGGTGATAAAACGCTTTTTGATCGAAATCTAGTGGGTTATAGATTATCGACCATACTGATTCTGACTATGGTTATGCGAGCTACCCTTAATCGTATGAAGATCCGGTTTTCTGGAAAACCAGATTTTCGGAAACTCTAAAAGATAATCAAAACCTTTCTTAATGAAGCAGGATTGTAGACCGCAAATTTCTGATTAAAATGAGACATCTCCCAGCTCTACCCGACCTTTCTTTACAAAGTTATAGAATTTATAAGAAAAGCCTAAATGTTCATTGTCAGTTCAAAGATATAATTTAGGGCTTTTCTTGTACATTCGATAACTTTGTAAAGAAAGGTCGGGTAGAGCTGGGAGATGTCTCATTTTAATCAGGAATTTGCGGTCTACAATATTGCTTCATTAAGAAAGGTTTTGATTATATTGATTACATACAGCTTTTGCTCATCAGCCGTAATACAGTATATTCTGTCGTGAGCCACGGCTCTGTGATATATCTGTTGTCAAATATCTTTTTCTTCAATCTACATCACTCGCTCACATCTGGATATTCACTCTACGGCTTGTCCAAACGTCACGGCGTTACTTTTTTGACGGACTAAACTTCAGTTATCTCGGAAACTAAAGTAGTAGAAAGTTTGTTTAAACATCAATCGCCGCAGTTCATCACGCTCTACTTATGCTGTGAAAGCGAAGCTTTCTGGATGTTGCATTAGGATTTGAGTAGGATTTTAGTGTCGGGTCACGGCGTTACGAAAAAAGACCTCCTTTTTTAAGATCGCTGCTACGAAAATCCTGATTTGTTGCGAAAGTAGTTATCCAAACGGAACATTCCTTGAGCCGATTCTGTAGAGCAGCTCATGGGCTTTCTAATGGTAAAAAAAATGTTTTACCTAGGTTATTAGATTTGCCTGAAAAACACAAAATATAAGCGTCACGGGTTACGCACGTTTTTGTCAAGCATATCTGAGGCACATTAACACGATGGTAAAGTTTTGATTTTCACAACTTCCTGTGTTCTTTGTATATTTGGTCGATCTGCACAAAAATCAAGTTGCTGTATCAAAGTAAGAGCTCAAAAACTGGACAGTAAGTCGGAAACTGTACAACTATGTACAAATTGTACATATCAAGTAAACTCAAAAACAAATACGCCATTTTGTAGAGAATTCAATTCTCTACAAAATCACATTTTTAGAAATTTCTGGATAGATAAAGAAAAATGCTTTATATCTGAGCATGGGTACTTGTACTCGTAGTTTTTGAAGTGCAAAGTGGTAGTACATGTACTTGAGATTAGTACTTTTACTTTAAGTTCATCTGTAGTACTCCAGATGCTTTTATTTCTTTCCACAGTTAGTTTTATTATGTCTATCAGTAGTACAATATACTAGATGTTGGGTAGTATAACTATAGATTCTTAATGGCGCCAACAGGAGCGCTGCTAAGAGTCATAGAAATGAACGTAAAATATCACGTAGACTGTGTCGACACCAGATAAAAGTTAATATCAAACTATAAACTCTATACTGCCAGTATCAGTTCATTTTATGCATACATTTAGCCTTTTTTGGCGTTCTATTCACCGTGGCAACAAATCCCAGCTTTCTAAAGCTCACAAAATGCAAGAGAAGAACTACTCTTCCATGAAAACCTCATTTGCTGTACACCCATTGAATCAGCACAACACAATGAAACAAATTTACATCAAAAACAGCTACACACACAAAAACCGTATCTGCACCTACACACACAAAAACCAAGATAGAAAAGAAAGAAATTACATTGCTTCTAAATGTGTACATTGCGTCTTTTACTTTATTACTTTATTAGTATAGATAAAGCATGCACAGGTTAATGTGGGCACTTTTGTTTTATTTGTTATGTTTTATTGCGCTCGATAAAGGTAATCATATTTAAGGTCTGTTGTGGAAAATCATTTGACATCTCGAAGTTACAAAGGTCAGGAGTATATTGTTCACTCCTTGCATTCTGTTGAACACTGCTACGAACTAAGCGTCAATTAGTTTGTACGAAAGAAATGGCATTTGAACCGAATCTGTTTGAGTTATCCTCTGTCTCGATACAACATTCTACACACGATGATACATCAACTTCAAATCCGCCGATAGTAAAAGAAAACATTTATTTGGATGAACTTTGTGTGAATGAGTTAAGCTTTATTAAATCAAATTCACTATTACGTGATACACAGACAACATTTAATTGTACCACTCAATCACCTTATGATGAAGTAAATGCTAGTGTACCAATTATTAATGATGATAAAATGCCATATTTAACATTTCGAACTGT